TCGTCATACAACAAGTTACATATCGTAAATATCATTCTTCTTGATGCCTTTCCCAGTGTCACCGATGCCTTTCCCAGTGTCACCGATGCCTTTCCCGATGCCTCCGTTGGTTAATATAGCAGTAAAAATATTATTTCAGTCAAAGCGTTGGGAAAATTGCTTAACTTTTGAATTAGCGAAGTATAACCTGGAAATATTTTGGCTTTACAACACGATTGTTTTTTGCAAGTTACAAAACGTAAATATAATTCTTCTTGGCGCCTTTCCGAATGCCACCGATGCCTTTCCCGATACCTCCATTGTTTAATACAGCAGGGAAAGATATATGTGCCATCAACACTTTTGAAAAATTGCTTCACATCTTATTTAGCGAAGTATACTGTTAACATTTCGGCTTTACAACGCTATTGTTTCCAGCAACTACAACTGATATGTCTCTATATGAATTATTAAATTTGTTTCCCTGCTGACCACTCGTATTTCGGTCATTTCTTCCTCCCCCGCTCGTGATGCAGAACAGTCACGTTTGCATAGAAAAACAACAAAACGAAACCACCACAACGAAAAGCCCGAAATTGGCGTAGCTGCTGAAACGTTCGAAAAAAAAACCCTGAAACGAAAGAAATAATGCTGTAAATAATATTTTTTTATGTCATGGGTAAATGTCTCCGTGGGAATTTCCATGTCAACAGCTCGCTCTGTCACTCACAAACTCTTCGTGATTCTTGCTACTTCTCGTAACGTTTAGCGCTTGGACGATTCGAAGACCCTTCAAATTTGGTCTTTAAGTTGATCATAACACTAATCTGAAACATTCGAAGTCCATTTCAATTTATTAAATGTCGAAACAACCACAATAAACATCGCAACGATTGATGCAATCACAATGGCGCCAGGACTTCGGACTTCTTCAAAAGTATAGATCTCGAGTTTGGAGCCGACTTATTTCGACTAATTACGAAGAGTCCAAGTAATTTGCATATCGCAAGGTGTCCGCAACAACTCGTTTCTATGCTATCGCGTATTCACGAGTTAAAAATCAAATGTCTATTAATAAAGGAAGCCATGCCGAAAGCTACGTAATGTCACGAAGGTAAATTACGTTAAGTAACTGAACTTCGACGCCAAGTCGGCCGGTTAGTATTAATTGTTATATTTAGCGCGGACGGAAATGATGAATTGGCTTACTTGTTTCGTGTTCTAACCCTAGTCCGTATGAAATAAGATATTTTCTATGAAGGCCTTATCTGGTAAAATGAGGACGTGACGTAAAGAAGAGGTGCGGAGGGAACCGAAACTTGTGAAAAATTGCGGGCATAACACAAATATGGTGACCAGCTGGGGTCAATATGGATCAACTTTCGTCGTTGTCTTACAACATCGGCAATGAATGTCCTAGGACGACGGTCCATTCTCATGTCAGATAAAGACAGTATTGAAAGTTGGTACTTATTTATTCAATTTCCTCTTGGTTGTTTTGGAGTGCTTGTATTATGATTTAGATGATAGCAAGCAGCTTCAATTTTTTCTAGAACTGATCAACGAAATTTTCGTTTGTTAAAACAGTCGCATTTCTATCATTCTTCTTTTTCTTAAGTGTGCCTTAGTGGCAGATCTGCTCCCTCAAAGTGAGGGAAACTACCTTTATAGGAAATAGCAACATAATTTCATATTGAATGAGAGACCGACTCGAAGAAAATGTTGTCACTTGACACCGGCCCAATTTTTTCTGTTTCTCTTTGGACTTCGTTCAGCTCTCTGGTTTAATTGTTTGGGATGTTGACGAGTGTTTATTACTTAGTCGTTTCCTTTGCACAATTAAAATCCAATCGTAAAGAGAGTGATAATGGTAATGTATTGGTGTCGCCATCATCTGAGTTATTGAGCGAGAGGTCAAATTCTTTTATGCTCCCAATTAAATCTAACAGTGAGTTTCCACCTTTGCGTCAAGCAAATGCTATATTTTGAATTACATCCCATAACCTTTGGTACAGAGGCCCGTGTTACGGGAAAATTTACTGATTTTTCCGAGTGCTTGTTTGGGACATATGTACTCATAAACTTTCCATATTTAATCATTCGATTTCAGTCAAGTTCCTTCATTCTAGTTAGTCAAAAAATATATAAAAAGCCACATTAGTTTTTGGGTAGTAAACTTAAAAATTTTTATTTTGTTGCTTGCTTTCATTGTACAACTGCATGTTGATACTTTTGTTCACCATTACTAGTGAAATTTTAGGTAAATATGCGTTAATGGTCTTTCTGGAAAAATTGGTTCTTATGGTAGTTGGCAGCTGAGTTTGTACTCATAATTTCCATTTCCTTTCATACGATAGTTTCCACGCCAACCTTGCATAGATTAGCAGAAATTTTAAATTGCTTTTCCACTTTTATTTCCTAAACTGCCCTATTGTAATTAAGACAGGTATATTTTCAATATCAGAGCTGTTAATTCTCACCTAAATTTCATATTTTTTAATTGCCTAGAATTTATTGCTTCCTCTTCCCTAATTTTGACAGATAAGTAAAAATCGTAGAAAAGTAGAAATCGTTTACTTCTAGGAGACCTTTTCCGCTTCTTTTGTTATACCATTCAAATATGGTAAATTTAGAGAACAATAGAACCTCGCACCAGTTCATATTTAAGCAAGTACTTTGTAAAGCCTTTCCGATTACATAGAAGACCGCGTGACGATTACTAGTTTAGCTTTTACTCTGGCATGGTGTATGTTAGAGTGCTCTTCGAATAATGTCTGCTGTGGAACCAGAACGCTGTCTCATCCTTGACGTCCGCACTAGCTCACTCGAAGTAGATAAATCGTGCCGAGTTTCCGTTCTCGCAAGCCGACTGGTCTCTACCGGGTTACTTTCCCCCGTTTTGTACGCTTCCCGCGAAGTCCAGTTTAGTGCGCGAAAACCCATCGTCACACCCGTAATGGTAAAGCGAAGGGACAACCTTCATTAACAAGATCATCGATCCTCTATAAATTGTGTTAGTTTTGAAATAATACGTAACAGTCTCTTATTATGGTTAACGCCAATGAGAACGCAGTATCTTCTTGTCTCTTATGAATAACTGTGGGCTCATTGTAGATCTTTTGCTATTAAATTATCGTTTTCTTGACATTGATTTTATAAGATTTTGAGTTCAGATCCAGGGAAGTTATCTTTCTGCTAACAGTCGAATTGACACACGGCACTATTAAATTTTCAGAAAAGATTAAAAGTCATTTTTTCCCTGGGGTATACATATTTTCAGCATTCGTGGGACCGGATCCTTGAGTCCAAACGAATGGTTATAAAACGCGATTTTACTTGAATTTTGGTCCACAAATTTGGCAGGCCTGGTTACTCTATTGCAATACGTTTGATTTATGTTGCCACCGACTAAAACTTAAAACATAAACATAAACATTTTATAGCAATGTTATCTTGGGTCGACTTATATGTACTGATGATTTTTAACAATTAAAATTCAGGAGCTGCTCCGTGGCAGTTCCTTAACTTTACTTCCTTCTTGCGTTACTAATCTGCATGACGTAATTTTCCATGTGAAAACTGATCCAGCCTATTTTTTTTTTTTTATTAGAGTGCTAGGATATAGAGGCTAAACAGGACTCGCCACACAGCTAGTTCATCAAAAGTTTCTCAGAAGAAAGTCAAGAAGATAGTTCATCTCGTCAACTCATCAGTTCTTTCGACTCAGTTGAAAGTATTATTTTGACATTTGATTTTCTTGGTATTATCATATCCTATGGATAATAATACGGCACCCTACTTCAACGAGTCCCGCAATGCAACGGTACTTTCAGATCATCTGCACGAAGTCAGCAACCAGCTTGAGACAAACAACACAGAAGTTGCAAAATTGATTTCCATTGCAACAGTTATCGTCCTCATCAACAGTTTGGTCCTTTATTTATTTTTCAAGAATAGATCTCTGCGGACCGTTTCAAACTATCCACTTTTCAGCTTGGCAACTTGTGACTTCTTCTGCGGAATTGTAGTCATTCCTCTATTTACAATAATGTATTTTACGCCATTGGTACAATCCCAAGGTGCAACAAGGTTCTATCTGGGATTTTTGGTAACAGTTCTTCACAACTTCATAGCCATCGTCACTGTTTACCACATAGTTATTGTTACGGGGGAACGTTACATGGCGATTAAATTTCCATTTAAACATCGCGTTCTTGACCAAAAGAACGTCCTAACAGTGCTAACTACTGTCTGGATTTCCTCGCTTCTAATATCATCAATTCCATTTACCTGGATTCATAAGATATATCCAGTAAAAAAGCCAGTTTCTTCAAGGTTAGCATTTGGTTTCACTATATTCTGCTCGATATTTGTCTTGGTTCTACCCTACATTTTTTTGATGTATGCATTCGCTGACATGTTTAAAGGCGTCTATGGTAAACCAAGGGATAAGCATCAACGTAATAATGATTCCGGAATGGCTCTGCGCCGCAGTAGAAGCATTGAAAAACATTCAGGTAGCGAGTTTAAGTGTCTAACACTATTCGTCATTATGTCGTCCGTATTTCTGATTTGTTGGCTTCCTTGGTTTGTGGTATTTCTGTTATACCAGTTGTCCTTCGACACCTCTAAATTGCTTGTACCGTCTCAAGTGGCGCTTTTTATCCGCTACATGACCTCAGTTGTCAACCCGCTGCTTTACACTTTTCTAAAAAGAGACTTTTTGCAGACTCTTAAATTTACCTTCAGGAGACGCAGGCAAGTTTCGCATTCAGTTATCTATCCTAATGGAAACGAGACATTGCAAACAGAATTTAACCATTCTGGAGTGTCAGTCACTCATTCACGTGATAGGCAATCTTCCAAGGCGGTGAATTTAGGCACCATCCAAGAGGGTGAGGGGTATTTTGGTGACAGTGAGTGTTGATAAACCCCAAGTAATGTACTAACGGTGAACAGTCCTAAAAATTGTTTGGAGTTTGTAATTGTGATGACAAAGGAGGTAGTTTTTATTATTTTCTTTTCTTTTTCAAACAGTAGAGTTTGCATTTTATGAGCTAATGATGTCAACCGACAAAAAAAATTTGTCGAATTTGAGTTTGGCCATGAACACAAACTATCTTATTTTATCTATATGCAGAGTACCAACACTTTACGTTTTGGACTGCTCTCCTTCGTGAGATGTAATTCAGTTTAGGCCGCGGTCAAGTCAATTGATCAACTTCTCGGCCAGAAGTAAGCCTGTGAGTTCGGGCTCACACTTAAACCGATTAAAACTCGTGACTAATTTGCAAACACAAGGTAGGTTCGATTTCCGCCGCTCTCTCTTGCCTCCTTCAAGGGAAGAACGCAAGCTATTATCCCGAGCAGTTTTTAAACCGAATAGGTGACCAAGCTTATTTCAAAA